TACAATACTCCACACTAAAATTTTGTTTAATGTATCCATATCCAGACCCTCCGAATAGTAATACGGGGCCATCTGCTAAAACCGTCACCGGAGAATGTGGATCTTACAGTATGTATATGGAACGAAAAGGCATGTTTATGAACTCAAGATCTTTTTATGTTGTCGCTCCATCTCAGGAATTTCTTTTCAAATATGGATCAGAATTGGTAAGATACCATGATATACTACTAGACAAATTAGCATGAGATTATTGTACAGATACTGAATATCTTAAAACTTTGGATTAGGACCCGTATCCGAAGCGGGCATTTCCTCTGAAAGAAATGACCGTTGCTTCAGTAACTAGTAATGATGACACTGCCATAGAAATTACATTCGATGAAGGAAGTCAGTACCAAGGTAATGTTGAAAACGGAAAGCGAATTAGCAGTATGTATATGGCGTTTGCGCTAGTATACTGTAATACTATACGTTGAGTATAAATACGTATTCAATACGTTACAACTGCACATATTATTGCCTGATCATAAAATCGATTAAGGTAATGAACGCTAGTAGATTAAATTTTGTGCGTAACTCATTTATGCATTATATATGCATTATTGTTATAATAGATATGATGCTATTAGTGCCAAATGAAAATGATCAGCTAGCTTGGATGAAGAAATTAGAAGCAATGGGTGTAAAAATAGGTAGAAGTAAAGAAGTAAGTAGTCTTTTATTTTTCTAGAAATGATGAAATTAAATGTTAAAATACTTTTTATAAGGCTAACTTATAATTATTAACAATATAATTACTTTTATTGAAACTGGTAATTAATTGATTCATTTCTTAATAAACAATTAATTAATTATGAGTGGTATGCCCTTATCCCTAATATAGGAAATCAATGAAGAGATCGGGAAGTCCCCAAATATTTACCCATTTAAAGCCAATACCATCGACGGTGATGAAATTAGCTTGGAGAAGTATAAGTACGTATATTGAGCAAAAGATTGTATGACATTATCACTTACGTATCATGATTTGTATTGATTTAGAGCTTTAATTTTCAATGTAGAGGATATGTAACGCTAATCGTGAATGTAGCGTCTTTTTGAGGGCTAACGGAAAAGAACTACACTCAACTGCAGCAACTGCACGTGCTGTATGCGAAGTCTGGACTGCGTATACTGGGCTTCCCTTGTAACCAGTTCGGAAATCAAGTAAGTCAATCCTGGTAGAATTAATTAAGCATATAGTACTGTATTAAAGCGCCAAATTAGTAACTTTTCAGAAATCATCCGAAAACATTAACCTCACTACTTCCAAAATGTTGTACGTTATGTTAGTTTGATATGGCACAGCCAACCATAGTCCTTTTAATTATAAAAATATATACTATAGAACTAACCGCAATGTGTATGAATTACAAAAGCTAATGATTGGTTGTATCCATTAAGAATAATTATAATTGATAAGTCTCATTCGCTCTAGTAAAACTATAGATACGGAGATACTAATGCTATGCCTGGTACTATGCTAGGCACTGTCATATGTTACATTCGCTGCTATCGTACCTGACTTGAAGTAGATTTTCACTGAACTGATTAAAATATCCCTTAAATTGATTTAGTGATGTCGATTATGTCATTAGCTTAAATGTGCTCATTGTCAGCCCTAACCTCGTCTTCGTACAATCAATCATTCGTAACATTGAAATAGATATTTAAATTATATTGCGATTCTTATTACATTGCAATATTGGATAACTGTTGCATTAATAATTTCATCAGGAACCTAAGTCTAACGCAGAAATAAAAGAATTTGCAGAAAAAAATTTCAACGCTGAATTCCAGCTCTTCAGTAAAATTAAAGTCAATGGATCAGAGGCTCTCCCTCTGTATAAATATTTGAAATCTCGTTTACCAGGGACATTAGGAAATTTTATTAAATGGAATTTTAGTAAATTTCTCTGCAATAAAGAGGGCGTACCGGTTCAACGATACTCACCAAGAACTGCGCCATTGGTGAGTAAATATAATCCCTTCATAAATCTGTTTGCTTGTTTAAATATGAGTAAGCATCAAAAATGCAATAACTTTAATTATTAGTTAATTTATTGTATTAGTATTAATAGAATCAAATTTCTCGTTTTCGTCTCTGCAATGTACATAGTTAACTTTTTAAATAACATGACTGTTACAGGAAATCGAAGAAACTATTAAAGAGTTATTGAAATAGTAGCCGGCACATCGCTAAACATTGGCTTAATTTGACAGATGTTTTTACCTAGATTTTTTTTCTTATTAGAAAAATGAAGTAGCATGTAATCAGCTTTCTCAACGTATTAAAATCATACCGTCTAATGCTTGATATGATCTCAGATGAAATTCATATTGTATGATGGCTTAACTAGAAACTGCTGACGCAGATAAATTAAGCTGGAACATTTGTATCGTGCAGACAAATAATATGTTCATCTAGGTCAAAAGTGTATTCCGTATGATTTTTAAAAGTTTTACGCTTAGAAATGATATCAACATAGTCTACAACATCTAACGCTGATATATTGAATAACGGTATGATTTTACCATAATAAAAAGATTAGTCTTACCATATCAGAATTATCTTATGGTCGTTATTCTACGCCGTTATTTATTATAAACATTCATATTTTATAAAATTGTTTACTTATGAACTTGCGGTTCTGAACAACCTCAGCAAGCCGGCATATTAAATTCAATCAAGCTGATACGATGAGCATAGCAGTTCGCAGTTAGCAAATCCAGATGAATACGTGTCATATTTCGAAACAAATACAGTAGAAAAGATTGCCTCTTTTCAATCTAACCAAATCATTACCTTTAAGGGTAAATTGCATATGTCCTTCAGCTAGATAATGGACTCATCATGAATCAAAATCAAGCAGAAGCTACGAGATAGGCAATAGAAAAAGTATAAAATCAAATGAATGCTGTTTAAATTCGAAAAAATTCTGGCATCAGCAAAAAAATAAGGTCCATGCAAATGTACTCAATACGCTATTCAAAGCTTTTGAAATACTAGTATTTCACACTACCTACCGCTGAAATACACGTATCCATACATTCATAGTTATCAATCCGTCGGCAAAAAGCAACAGGATTATAACACTGTGAAGACAGCAAATTCCCCACTTGCCTAGTTAAAGATCAGCCACTGAATGAATAATAAGAAGCTTATATTATCTTTAGGTACATAAAATATAACGGCCGGGCAAAACAAGAGAAAAGAATCAACGAATTTTACGTTGACGTAAATCAATTTTGCAGTTTTTATTGTTCAGTTTTACGGTAAAATACTATACCAGTTACAGTTTGTAAAGTAATATCATATCAACACCAAATTAGTAAATTTGTGCAAATTACTACGTAGCAAACACAATTCTGGCTCTTTTCTAGTCAGTTAGAGAAAATTGCCAAGAAGTATAATCTTTTGATTGAAGATTTCCTATCAGTAATTCAATTCTTTTAATTAAGAAATTAGTTAATATATGAAAGTAAAATATTAAAACTAATAAATTAACAATTAATTAATAATTGTATTAGTCCTTATTAATCTCTACACGTAAACAATTGTAATACTGATCTAACCAACTTATTTTCTTGAGATATTTCAAACGTCAACTAATATAAAATTTTTTTAAGTTCAGATCAATTTAATATAAAATATATTTAAGTTTAAATCAATTTAATCAATTAAACGATGCTCAAAATAATAATAAGGCAACTTTGATAACTAACAGACCTGATAAAATATAAAAAAAACTTAAAACTACGAAGTACTTCTACACTCTAAAAAAAGAGTGACTGCACGGCCTACTATCGGCAACTAATATAATACTAATATAACGCGCGCAACTGGTATCAATATCGCAAGCATACTACAGCTTACGTCGATATTCTATCGACATTGGGTATAAAATTAGTTGACAGGCAAAAAACATCTGTCTAAGATATTTTAATCGTCAATAAAACGAAGATACCATTTATATTATTTCCCATCAATATAGAGATCAACTAATGTAAAGCCATCTTATCGATTATGGCTTGCTACTTAATAAATTATAAGCAAATTTCTACTGTGATAAATTGTTTCAGGCAAATTGGCTCGTAAGTACCACCCGTAACTTAGCTAAAAAAATTAGCATATACCCATGTAGAAGGAAGGATCAGAGCATTTCTAGAAAAGTTTCCTACTGTATCCGATTGAGACGTCTAATCTTATAAAGAGGATTATCCACAGAATTCAGCAACTATTAACACCTAAATATATAGAATTTCGTAATCAATACCTTACATTTAACTTTGTCATTAATGCTCCCTTCACGTGAGCATAAACATATTAAGCTTTTTAAAACTGCTGACGCTATTTGACAAGCAATTAGATAATGAAAGGTGAGTGAAAGACAGATCCTATCTAGATTTAATTGATGGTACAATTACAAAACAGCAAATCCGTAGCTTGAAATTAGCGACAATGTTTGTTTGTAAGTAGCAATAAGTTAGTATGACTAAATAAAAGCTAGAAGCAATATTTGCGCTTTAAACTCTCTTTGATGATTCTTAAAACAGTACTTAGAATGCCAGATCAATTGATATATTCTCACTGACAGCTTTTGACTTAATCACCTAATCTTTCTTAAATAGTGAGATTAAGCCTCACATCTGGGCCCTATTTAGAATCACTATATATACAAGCCCAAAGACAATAAATATATATGAATATCAGGTATTTATTTCACTTATATAGAAAACCTCCTAACAAATAGGCGTTAGAGATACTATAGCACCAAATTTAGCGGCTGCAAAGGATAAGCGCAGTAAATTTGGCACAGGAACATAGAAATTGGAATTTTAATTGAAGACTTAGAAACAGTGGTGCTTTAATTTTCACATAATGCATCAACTATTATAAAATTATAATTTATAAGCAGCACGACGGGGATTTTAAAGACTTATAACAACACTAAATTATGGGTAGAAAATCTAGTCATACTATAATCTTTTAAGAGAATTTAAGATCCGGACAAACTAATCCATCTATTAACTATGTAATCATAGTACCAAATTAAGACACCATAACAAATTCATGGTTAATTCAACCTAAAATGGGTGTCATTTCATTGTTTAATAACAAATAAATGCTTTCAAGATTAATCGTTTAACAGCAAATGGAGAAATATATAATAAAGTCTAAAGATGGTAAGAATCTTAGGCATTATTCTTTAAAAATTAGAACTATAATGAAATAGATTGTTCTTTCGTGATGAATAATAATATGATTTTTATCGATTATCATAAAACTTTATGTACCATTAATGGCAGGTGTTTCTAGGATTTGTAAAGAAATAAGTATGCATTTAATCACGTTAAATAGCTATTAAATTATACAGTATGCTATGGTTAGTAATTGAGAACAAACCATTTTAATTTTTTCAGATTTTAAATACGTTAATACGAGTACTGTATATATCGTATGTAAAGTATACATTGCTAAATAAATCTACTGAGCATTCATCAAAGATTGGAATTTCTCATACAATGTTAAATTTTTAATACTACTTTTTCTTTTCTCTTTTGAAGCTCACCAAAGGAAATACAATGCTGTCCAAAAGTACTTGATTCTAACATAACGCCATGACCGCACTTTGTATTATTATAATGTAATTTTTAGAAAAGCTTACTTTTAGTATTATAAGGGCTTATGCTTTCACCATGCGTCATTATTGACACGCGCTAATTTTCGATTTCTTTAATAATCAAAATTGAATTATTTGAAAGCGATTTCTTATTGTTTATTTGATATTTGCGATAAAACGTATTCTTATTTTTACGCCTCCTATTTTGATTATTCTATTAAAGCTTTGCACAACATCGACATAAATCTCAGGATTACGATTTCATGACTACGTTACAATCTCTTACAACACCGTTAGATATCAATTTTAAGTCTAGACTATAGCAATTTTATTATCTATGTGCTTCTGATTGCGTTCACTATACTGTAGCAATAACTGAAGCTTATCAGCAAATAACAAAAACTGCTTAATTGATCTCAAATTAAACTAATAACATTTTTACAATAATAAATTTTAAATGTCCGAAATACTATACGACATCAATCTAATAGCGTAATACTTCATGAAAAATTAATGCAATGACCGAGTAATAGTCTCCTGCTATTACAGTTCTTTGGTATCACTTTGAACTATATTTGCTTTTTGTATTGGCTGGAACCAGTAAAAGATACTATTGTTAATGAAACAATCCTTGTCAAATAGAAAGCTATTACATCATTACTACAATTAGTGGTGTAAGATCTTTTTTGAAAGGATTAATTACCAACTAATGGATCCAATACTACTTTTGTACTATGCAAATACAGACTGATAAAAGTTAAAACTTAGCATCCATACAATGATATCATACAGCATAATTATGGTATGTATAGTACAATAACACTGTAGATTCTTGTTCCTCTTCAATGCCACTAATTTATGGTTCTAATCTGAGTTGTGAATAGATGATAAAATTACTTTCGTCAAATGCCATCTCCTCTCTCATAAGGCTTGCGTTACCATCAACCCTTAATAGCATCTGCATAATATTACAAGAGGCAAATATACCATGATAAGTAAATCTGCTGCAAAACTTAAAATTCACTTGTACCTTAAGCTATCGAATTGATATCCTATAAATACCTACAGTTGTGAAATACGGAATAAGGGATAATCAAAAGCAATACAGTATTAATTAAGGTATAAATGAATGATACCAAAATGAATGCATTAAGGTAATCCTGCTATCTCTCATTTAATCTAGCAAGCAATTACTAGTTTTCTTGATGCAATGATCATACTATTCACAAATCTACTATATATTAAAAAAGATCAAGAAAAGTAGAAAACAGTAATAAAAAGAGTTTAATAAACGTGCTTTCCGTAATCCTTAATATGATTTGATAGGAGGGCAAAAACAAATACTAACTTAGACGTTGAAGCAGGAAATTTTATTATTTTTTCTTAGCATACTAGTATAGAGAATTCGACCTCCTTCATTAAAGCTTGTTTAAGCTAATAATTCTAAATAGGATTAATTAAAAGAATTGAGAAGAAAGCAAAGATATGATACACGTTTTATTTCGTCAGATAAATTTAGATAGTAGAAAAATAAGGTAAACCCTCCGTGATAAAACCCAATCACTAAAATTCAAAATTTGTAGAAAATTAGAACTCTATTAGATCTAATGCTAAGATTAGATACACACAACTCTACTCTAGCCGAATATAACTACTGAAAGACTTCTAGAAAGAACTAATAGATAATCTAATGTCGCCTGTTTATACTCTCCGCAGCCTTCGCAGCTACAATCAGCATAGCAACATTTTACCCTATTTTATATTTAATTAAGCTATTATTAGTAACTTTATTTTACAGCGAACCACCATTATTCCAAATGGAAACGATTACAGTGATTTTGAAGACATTATTTCTACCACTTAAAGTATAATGAGCTAACCATATCCTAATATATGATTTACAGTTCTATTTTTACCTCTAACCTTATTAGTAGCTCAACATCTTATTGTACTGTATATAGTCATTCGCACTCTAGCATAGCATCTATCATTACAGTCTATAATTATGGGCTACTAAATATATCATAAGATAAATATATAAACGACACTAACGTCATCCATTCGTAAAGCATAGATAAATAAATTACGAACAATCTTATCGATCGTATACCGATCGTGACACCTATTAATTATGATCTGAATCTATCCTATGCAACGACTGTATTTACTTAGAATTGAACTAATGCAAGATCTAAAATATTTACTATCATGAAAAATATATCAGCAAGAAAGATAAGAGAGCCAAAAAGAAATGGCTAGAGATTGATTAAAGCGAATAAATATTTCAAATGATAATAATAAATCTGCAGATCAATATTGATAATAAATTGTCAATTAGTAATCAGCAATAGTGCTTTATATCTGGTTAACTGCAAGTACTAACGTAAGATAATTATTTTAAAAGCTTCGCCAATCTATACTTCCTATCTCTATTCTTTACCTATGACTACTCTTTATGTAAATATTGCAAACATTTGCAACTTTTACGGTAATACCATGCTAAGAGAATAATATATTTCGTGCCTGTTAAATTATATTATATATATATATACTTATAGGCGAAGAATACCGTCCTTCCATATATATGCTACATAATTATTTATCACTTATGTATTCCTGGAGTAATCCATATGGCAACTAAAAATATATTTCATACTCATACAAATAATACTTATTAAGGTACTCAGTATGTGATGATTAAGGTCAATTTTTGCTTATATTTCGTCGTTGCCATAACTATCGTTGTTTACATCCTGCAAAATGCCATTGTTAAATCAACATACACGTAAAACTTAGCTTTAATTAAACAATCCTTCTGTAGTAGTGACTTTTATTGTAGGCTAATTTAAAAGAAAATAATGGTATAACCGTATCTACTTGATTCTTTAGTTGTTTTTCCATGGAAACTTATATCTGAATAAATCAGTAATATTTAAAGTTAAGAACTTTATTAATATTTAAATGATTATGAAACAACATTTAACCACTAAAGATCGAGACAATCTGCTAAACTTCATTTAACTCTGATTGATGTCTGCTAAAATATTTTAGACTTTTAACGTCTAAAATCATCTTAAAGAAGCATTTCTTTCGTCCTTTTCTATTCCTGATTTAAATATAGGAACATGCATATCAAATTTTGCTTCTAACGGTAGTACAGCAGTAGAACTATTAAGATTCAAACAACATGGTCACGATAACTTCAGCTTCAGGTACATTAGAATAACTATACAATAGCTTAATATTTTATTTCCAACTTCTGTTGTATTCAATAATTTCCCATACTTTGAGACGAAAATTGATTACAATCAAGTCTGCAAATCTAGACAATAGGTTTCATCATCATTGAATTTTGGTATTATGCTTTCGTTTAATCTACTGTTGGCCTTGGTTTATGATTTACAAAAGATTAGATGTAAAAGCATTACACGGATATTATCAATGAAAAGGATGGCTTAAAATTCGTTTTCTCATCTTAATGTCTTTAGCCTTACAATCCGATAATGGTATGCAGAAGATGAAAGGGAGCGGACCGGGAGTTATGCTTGGATAATATCTTATTCGAGTAAACAAGCAAAACAATGATATGGAAGTGACGACGATAGATAAGTATCCCAAGATACAATAGGAAATATTATAGACAGAGGTATAATTATCTAATGATCATTCTGATAGATAAGATAGTACAATTTAACTTCCATCTTTACGCTTTATGTTAGCATCTAGCCACGAGCAATGCTCATAACAATAAATTTCACCTAAACTCTGGTATTGCTAGTAAAACTTATCGTCATTTGAGGTGTAGCCTGACAATATTCATCGTTGGAAATTCTTTCAACCTGAGTATTCCTATGTAACTTTCTATTTTGTGGATATTTTAAAAGTTGAATTGAAAGTCGCTTCTATTGCAATCATGTTGGATCAAACGAGTACCTCAAATGTCCAATTAACTGTAATACGCACTCTTACATGGGCACTAAGTATTATGGGCATTTTAGGTAATGCATATTTGTTGGCATTTAAACTGACGATAATTAAGTTGCTGCCACGAAAAATTCACCCACAGCACTATCGCATTGATGAAACATTTCTACGAATCCCACAAATTTTCTTGATCAATTTGTGCCTGGCCAATATGTCTGGCGCAATTTATTTATTTATGATTGCTAATACTGATTTATACCTCATTAATAATTATGATACAGCTTATTCTGCTCTAGGACAATCAAAGCATGATAACTTAACACTAAGTAAAACTCAAGCTATTGAAGCAGTAATTAATTCAACGTGTACGATAGCGCGTTTTTTTTCAATGATATCCTTAACCGCATCAGTGATGATTTCCTTAGTTATGGCCATCGATCGAACTATTTGTGTTTGTTATCCTAAACGCAAGAATAGAATCACTTTCAAAGTAGCTCATATCATGATGTTAAGCTGTTGGTTGTTTGGATTTGTGATGACGTTGACATATAGTACACGTTTCTTAATGTTACCGAATGGAAATTCTAAACAGCTCGGCCACATATTGCAAAACCTGTGTTACATTGGCCATCATACAGATTTAGTATTAAAAGTGATTATATGGACTGTTATTGGTATACTTTTAATCATGTTTTTGGCTATTATTTTGCTTTATAGCATCATCTTTTTACGCGGTCCTCCAATCTATCAGCATTTGCGTCGACGTCAATATGAGATGCAAATAGTTTGGTTAACTAGTTGTATGATGCTTATCCAGCTACTGTCATGGATACCAGGTTTAATTGCTTTGATAAGCGATCTCTTATCCTTAGCATTTGTTAGGGCAGCATTATGGCAAGATACATCACCCATTATGATGATATTCTTTTACCTTAGTCCAGCTATCCATCCTACCATTTATATCATCTTTGCAAAGTTATATTCCCAAAAATTGACCAACTTCCTTCAATGTTGTTGTTGTGTTCTTATAACTAAGACCGTAATTAATAAGGCCGAATCAATCCGCAGTAATAATTCTACTACAATAACTGTTATAGAGAGTCGACGAACCGTTGCTAGTTATCATGGATAATCGATAGATTTTTGGGCTTAAATCGAGCTTACTTGAATGAATATGACATCAATTGGGCTTACAGAATGATTTGATTGACTTAAATGACCAAAGAAGGACCGATTGCTATCGATATGAAAAGAAATCTGATTTGATCTCAATATTCGCTTGTCCAACATTATGGAAGAAATTTATCATTGAGTTTGCTATACTTAGCGTTAAAAAGAAGATGATTAGGTATTCAGTTATACATTCCACACTTAAAATCGCTTATACTCGTATTTTCAATCACAGTAATTAATTATATCATTTTCTTATCTAATTCTCAGAACAGGAATAGTACTATATTAATAGTTGTTTCTATTATAAGTTCAACACTTTTAACAATTCTACGTTTTGCAATACTTAAATATCTTTTCATCTCTAGTTTTTATTTCTTTCCTCAATTCATAAAGATAGGCAGTTCTCGAATTAGCTATTATTAAAATCAAACTAATTAGTATGTCCTTTCTTTAAAATAAGTAAAATATCTAAATAAGTTCAGAAATTGCTTTTATCTAATCAGACAATGTCATTTAGTCTGATGTCTACAATTCGCTGTACTTTTATTAAGTACAAGCAGTTACATTATAGCCATACGGGTACGGACAAAAATTTTTTACTATCATGATTTTACTCATTCTGTAGTCAGCAAAGTGCAATTCCATTTGATTATAGTCAAATCTTTAATAATTGTTTAATCAATTTTTTTGCATTTGTGTAATCAAATAGAAAGTGATAATGCCGTATAATTAATTATTTGATCATAATAAAAACTATGTGCAGGACACTATTTTGTGTAAATTTCTTTTCCCCATTCGATTTGAATCATGCCATCAGTAATACTATTAATGATAACTGACTGTTAATTACTCCACAAATGCATTTATTTAAATTAAATTCGTGTTATATCCCGAAGCTGATGAATATCCTCACTGTTATTGTAATATATTATGAGAGCATAATTCAGGTTATTGACCTACAGAGTAAAAACGAAAAGATTGAATTAATTATAAATTATATTTTCACAAATTTTAAAACAGGTAATTGACAATGAAATTAATAACGATAGAACTAACATATTGTAGTTAAATTAAGGAAGCTAATTCTGAAAATTTAAACTTTTAAGTCATCAGCTAGCTTATTAGATCCATACGCTCATTTATTCCAGCTAACTTGCTTAATGTTGCTACTCATACTCCGAAAGGTTACCAAGTTAAAAGACATATGGTAATACTGAAAAAATCAAGGTATTAGCTATCTTGAAGTTTAGCGATAACTGATCTAAGCCAAAAGTATATTCATTGTGAGCCAGACTTTCCATTAATGAACTTCAGACTTGCTACAGATTCAGCAAGATAGCTGTATTACTGAATTAAAACTATGGCTTTACTTAAATTTTAAATTAGCAGTAATTGAAGTGACTAAACTCATTATTGAGAAATTTCATAAATTGTTCTAGCTATGACTCATATCCTCAATGTAGTTTTACGGTAGGTATCATAAAGATTATTTGTAAATATGATTTAATCCTGAATTAAAATATAGTATTACTTAAAATTTAATAATAATTCACTAGGACAGTATAGTTAATTACAGGGCAGTGTCAAAATTTATTTTTACCATGATCCCATATCCATTATGTAATAGATTCAAAAATATAAGTCATCTTTGATGTGGATACAAAATTAAGGTAAATTACTGTATAGAATTACTCGGTTTCTATTTTCGGAACAATATTTAACGGGCTGTATAATAAGAAAATAAAAAATACTAAATGTATGTTCAATTTAAATTATTATTGCAAATCTATCGCTATGTTTATCTGAACAGTAATGGCTATTTAATATGTAGATTAAATTCACAGATAAATTTATCTGTCTCATCGATACGTATAATATTCAGACCTTCATTAACTTATTTTTTAATTTTAATCAGTGATAAACTTGGATTGCCGACGATAATGATCGAGTAACAATAGTCAATTCATGACTAAAATAAGTTAGAGCTAATTAATTATCAAGTTTGGCACTTTATGAATAATAATTCTGTAATACCCAGTCATGAATTTTATTCGCTGGAGCACTAATGATTAAAAATTTTAATATATTAGGGAAAAAATTAAACTTGAATGCCACGATATTTTCAGTACCCAAACGACAGTATGTTTTATTAAATCCATTTATTCCTTTCACCAAATTTTAATGATTTACGGTATATTCGTATAGTTCAATGATAATCGTTAGATTTATATAACAAATTGGCTGAAAGAAAATCGTTCATTTACTGCTTGACGTTTATGAAAAGCATAGGGAACAGCATGAAGACAAAATAGGTAAGTATGCCACATGAAAACGAATATCCGATATACTCATGTTAAGAAAGTATCTAAGATTTCAATTGTTCACTCGTTTGTATACTACCCAGATGTTAATGGAAGGCCATTATAAGGAGTCAAAAACAAATTCTGCTTCAAATAATAATTATTTTAAGATATAAAAAGATGAGTAATTTAATTATTGCATTATTCGCTTGAATAATGAAATTTTCAGGGATTCAGAATTTCTATCTTTAATTTCGAAGGCTATAAAACTGAAAGATTAAATTAGACCATTTTAAGCTAGGATCAAGTAGATGATATTATATATCACAGCTCTACTTCAAATGGCCCCAGATGTTCTTTTATAATCGTTGCGAGATTGCATTCTTTACTTTATATTTTACTGCGTGTCAAGATATATGGTTCAGCTACGTTTCAAATTGGTATTAATTAGGGTCTGGATATAGAGCACAATAAAGATAAAAATCGAAATAAGTATTACCTTGTATGACAGTAGTATTATTAGACGGAAGGACATTATAGACTAGCATTACGATCTTCGACGAACTTATTTTTGCAACGACTTATTTATACTGACTTCTGTCACAAACCAGCTTCGTGACAAGGATAACGTAAAAAAAATCTCTAAATTACTATAGTCTCTGGGATTCAGTATCCCTTAACTACCTCACAAGAATTTAGACGCCTTTGATTCTACGTTAAACTCAACTAGACAATTGAGAACTACTTTATTCAACTATCTGACGGGCTTATATACCCTTCTACAGCAGCTAACATTCACAAGTCATCTTATAAAAATACTTGGGTGAGAACATCTACTAACTAGTTTTTCACATTCGGACTACAACATGTCTATTCACAGAATCATTTCAGCACACATTACAGCACAGCATTAAATTTACTGTAACACATTTATAATTAGAGTAATTCCTATTATAAGTAACTAGTTGTAATATATTATCACTATATTATATTAACCAAATTTAGATAGCTATTTCTTCACGGTAGTTCGTACCGTGACAACTTCATGTATGCAGTCGTAGACAATTCGATGCCAATGCTTTATAGCAGCTCATGTTTTAACACTAGAATATCCTTAATCATAAGAATAAGTTCAACAGTTAGAAGTAATATTCATTTAGTTACTAATGCTACCAGCTTATAATTACTTCAATGATGTGGAATTGCTCATACAACCTTTGGTAAAATCTGTACTATAGTGGCTTTATTGCACCGATAACTATTATATTAATAGTTTCATTTTAAATAAGGATAACTTTTAAAATGTATCGAATTTCAAACAGCTTTGCTAGTTGAATTTTTAATATAAACTGCTATTTCTCAGATTAAGTGTTCATTATTGGTATTCACCATCATGGCAATCTTACATTACCAAATTCAATAACCACTGTATAATGAAATGAATCCTTTAATACTCGTATGCTGAGAACTTTAAATGAATTTTCAATCCGTTATTTTATCATTTTAATGATATTAAAGCAACATACTGATTTTATTGGAATCTAGTTTCAATTTAGATCGGTCGATATTATTACAATTGCTATCATTACTTCTATTAGTAACATCATGTAATAAAGTGTCTATCGAAACGCAACGACTTCCACAACTTGAAGGAAAATCACTTTATTACGATAATTACGTCTTCTACCAAGGACTAGATTATCTATGGCTACTCTGTCTTCGGCGATAAAATCTCCTGCTTATATACAATTGTGTACAGAGTATCTTCGTGACACATAAATCATTATCTACCTTAATAAGGCTAACATCACATCTCTAGCGTACCTGGAGGTGCCAAGCAGTATGACTAATAACTTTTACAATCCGTATTGCAATTACTAATACAAATCCTCACATATTTAATCTCACTCTACGATCTAGCACCTATACAAGGGTATCTATCTTAATTAGCCTAGTAATTACGTCATGCACGATATTCACACATACTGTATATAATCTTAAGCTATATTTGGGCTGCACTACACATCATGTTGAACAAATTCTATTCTCGAAGTCAATGATCAGTTAGGCCGACTCACGATGCTTCAATAATTTAGAATTAGTATTAACTTCATCTATGAAATACATGAACATAATCCCATATGCGTACTTTTTCTATAAAATAGAAAAATCTTCTCAATCGGCGTGATATGTTCAAGTTATTATATTAAAAAATTTTGATAATGACATAAGATACTTCGAAATCTTTTCTCGAAAGTGTTTATTCGGTATAATTTACAAATAAACTCAGAAATTTCATAAAATCTGAAATTACATAGAAGATATATTAGTAAGATACTGCGACTGGAATTAGAAAAACGCCTGGTACGATGGAAAGGTAATAATGGTAGGTAAATGATAAGAGAGGTTTGTTAAAAAACAATTAATCTTAAATCTAGCGTTCATTTACTTTATAATCTTTGTAACTACTAGCAATGCGCCATTTATTAAAATAACTTATAGAGGTGAAAGGCCATGGCCTATTCATTAGATTATGTACTGTTAACATGACAACTACGCTAGAGTTATACAGTATTACATGTCATTAATCAATTCTTTTACCGAACAACTTGAATGTTATTGACGACACAAGAAATATCAATAACGAAATATGGTACAC